TGCAACTTTATTTTTTGGATCGTGAATTTTTTCGCATTTTCGAGCGCGCTTGTCGCGAGAGAATTGAAACTGGCGGATGGTAGTACGCGCTACTCTCTCTCTCTTTCTCTCTCTCTGTCTCTCATGTATCAGTAACTAAATCAACAACTAATTAGTCAATAAATCACCAATTAAATACAGAGAATGTTCTCATCACAGACCAATTTTACCCTCCGAATTCTGAATACGAGATTCTTTCTTTTCAAGTTCTCAAAAAAAAAAAAAAAATCGAAATTATCGCGAAAGAATTAAGACTGACGGACAGAAATAAAATGAGACTCAAATTGCATATCCAACTCCTGAGATTAAAGACCTGAGATTCGCTCCTTCGACTTCGCGGGGTCGGAATGTTTGCCAACATTTCCGAAATCGCCTATTCTCCTCACCGCGCCCCTCTCGTTCCTCGCCGGCTTCTTTCTGCGCGACGACGCGAAGAAAGCGGCGTGGTTGAACGGAGGACGTCAATCGGGAGGAAAGACGGAGGGTAGATACGTGACGCAAAGCGCAACATGGGGAGGGACGCGTTGACCCGTTAAATTCGCGCTGTCCAGAAAAAGTCAACGGGCCCCCATAGGTGCGCGGCATATGTGGGGGGGGGGGGGAGGAGGTTGAAAGGCGAACGCGCGCCGGTACAAAGAAACCTAAAAGAAAAGCTAAGAGGAAGGACGAGAGAGGGAAAAAGAGAGAGAGAGAGAGAGAGAGAGAGACGCGCTCTTCTCCCGTCAAAGGAAAACCCGGCGCGAGAGGAGAACCCCGGATAATTGCGGACGCGGCGGCATGAAAATCGAACGCCGCTGTTCACCCGCCCCCGCCATTCTCGCGCGAATTGGGTTAAGCGCTTCGATTTTAATTTCGATTCTCTCGAGTGAGCGCGGCCGCGCGCGCGCGCGGAACGACGAAGGCGGAGCCCAAAATCGCCGCTCTGCCGGCGCGCGAGTTTGCAATTGACGTTGTTATCGTTAATGCAGATGCGAATTCAATCCCCTTGTGCGCTTTCCCGGTGGAAGAAAAAAGAAGCGAAGCGCTCGACGAGCCGCTTATCTACACAAGCGCATTAACGGAATGCGCGACGAGACGAAATCGCGTCTCATGGAAACGTTCGATTCTCGTCTTTTCCGGTTCCTTGAGAAACTAATGGTCAGAAGGGTGTATACGTGTGGGTGTATACGGGCATCCCCGTTGTTTCCGCGACGCAAGAATCCTCTTGCCCGCCGCGAGGGAATTAGAAACGCGATACGGCACTTCCGTTGTGAGTTGCAAAAACTCCGCGACGACGTCGCGCGACGTCGATAACATCGAGAGCGAGAGATCGTTTAGCATCGAAATATCCCCCCTCCCCCCCTCTCTCGCTCTGTCTCTCTGTTTCTCTCCCTCTCGAAATTATTTCTGACCGCTCGAGTCGAAAGACTCGCGAGAGCGCGAGGAGAAGCGGCGTCTTGATGATCGCTTCGTTGAACGCGCGAAGACGCGCAGATGCGCGCGAATTTTCGAGGCGACGTATTTATACGCGCCTTCGGCGTCAGGGCCCCGGGATTGGATCGCGACGGAGGAGAGACTTATTACGACCAGGCAGGCGATTACGCAAGCAAGCGCAACTCTTCTTCGTAGTCGCGCGCGCGCGACGAGGAGGGCGACGACGCGCGCGAGCGGCCGGCGCGACAAACCGAGAGAGACCCGGATGGAAATGAGCGGCGGCCTAAATTCGCCAGCGCGCTTTGTTAATTACGCGCGCGGAGAGTTACGTCAGAGTTTCCCGAGGCGTCCGCGTCGTCGCCGTGGCCCGACGCGAATTTCGGCGAGACTCGCGGCGACCGGCGGCCGTTGCGCGAATCGCACAATGAGACTCGATCAATCGCCGCATGGCGGCTTCGATATTCGCCCTAAAGTCTTTCGTCGGCCTTCCAGGCCGTTGGATGTGATTTTTGTCACTGCGAAACTACACGTAATTTTGGACTATTGGGACCGCGTACGCGTGGTCTCCTGTTTTTACTACGCTTCACTTTTGCTTTGCTTTAACATTCCAATATCTGATTATCTATAATTATCGTATAATGGCGTATATTTGGGAATTCGCATAACAGGCGCCTTAAGCTAATATTGAGAGAGAGAGAGAGAGAGAGAGAGAGAGAAGGAGAGAAGATATTCGCACCGCGGTGATCGCGGAAATCTATGGCTGCTGTTACGTGCGTTAGATTCTCAGTGCTGGAGATGAATATCGGGACGCGGGCCGAAGTGCAGCAACGCTCTGAGCTAGGGATGCTGATTTTAAGTCGATTTAATCGAAGATCGATTAATCGGAGCCTGAAAGATTGATTTCAAATCGATTTTCTGGAACTGAATCGATTCAAGGGTCGATCTGTAAATTCTGAAAATCGCCAACATGATTTTTTCAATTTCTACTAGTAACATAGTTTTTTTTTTACTTCTTTTAGTTGTAACATTTGAACTTACTCTTATGTTGCCTTTAGACCGATGTCTCATGAACGAGAATTTTCAGCGGAACGAAACGCGCGAACCAATCACAGCCACTCCATATAACAGTATACATTGTATACATATATATATATATATATATATATGCATATAATAGTAAACATAATTTGTTATTTAATAACGTTTAAAAACCCTTGATTGACGTTTAATCAAACTAATTAAATCCTTAGCACAAAGATTTAAAGGTCTTTTTCTATTTTGTTCTGGCCACACACACACACACACACACACACACACACACACACACACACACACACACACACACACACACACACACACACGCACGCACGCACGCACGCACGCACACACACACACACACACACACACACACACACATACATACAGAACACAACTAAAAGAATACCATATGTTTAATTTCTTCCATTTATATCAAAATTTAATTTCTTTAATTCATATTAAACTATATGAATTACACGAGGTCTACTTTAGAGAGTGTAGAAGTTTGACAGATAATATACTTTAATGAGTGGTTCACTCTACATGCATACCGATTCAAATCGATTTTCTGAAATCGATTCTTTATAAACCGATTTTTTTAAAGATCGATCTTTTCCTCCGTGACTCGAATCGATCTTTATAAATCGACCTGTTTGAAAAAAAAATCGGCATCCTTACTCTGAGCGCGCCGTTCCCGGAGAATATCCGGGAAAGCGCTCGATCGTGATGCACGCCGTCCAATTGAAACGAGCGCGAAGCTGCGAGCTCCCTCTCACTCGCGCGGCCTTGCGTGTTGTTAGCCGCGCGGCCACGCGGAGCTCCGCCAAACGCGAAGGAAAGCGTCGTCATTCGCGACCCGACGTTGCGGAGCAGCTAAATTGTTAAATTACGCAGCGAGTACTACTACTAGCGCTGAAGCTGAAGCAGCGGCGGCGCGGCGACACCGCCAACGAAAGCGGAATTATTTCGGATTTCGGCTTTCGCTTGATTAATGGAAGCCGAGTGCGGCATTTATAGTTGCGTGCGATATTTATACGGCACAATCGCCGCGCCGCGCCGACTGAAAGGTCATCCGCTTTTCTCCGCGCGATTTCCCGAAACGCGCCCGCCCGTCCTCCTGTCCGCCGGGAGAGAGAACTTGCTCTTTCCAACAACAAGGAACAATTCTTCCGCGTTAGCGCGGCCCGAAAGTCGCGCAAAAAGCAACGAAGACGACCTTCCCGCCCCACAATGGCAACGGCCGGCCGGCCCTCCTCGCCGATCGACGCGGTCTTTGATAAATAATGAAGTCACGGGGTCGTCGGACGCCGAGAATGACAGGTGGGGAGAAGGACACGCGCAAAACACAGCGTAGCGTCGATCAGATTCGCGAGACAGAAGAAGTGTCCTTCTCGCGAGCGGAGACGGAGAAGGAAGCAGGAGGAAAGAGACCGCGGGAGAGAGATGGAAAGCCGGGCGCTTCCATGCGCGCGATTTAATCCGGTGCGACGCGCGTGACATGGCGGAAACGGCGGAAAGGCGGCAGGACCGGGAGCGGGGGGGGGGAGAAGGAGGGCGGTGAGATTGAACGGATCAATGCGGAAGAAAGGCATTTTCGAAGTGGGACGAGACGGCGGTATATCGGGCGACGCGCGAAATCCGCGCATTCTGTGCCGCGGCGCGATTGCGCTCGGCGTGTAATAACCGATCGGCGTCGTGGAGTCGCGTGACGACATTACTCGCGACGACGACGACGACGACGGTGAGCATGAGGGACCTTCGCCCGCTGCGTTCTCCTTCTTCTCTCTCTCTCTCTCCTTCTCTCTTTCCCCCGACCGATCGCTGAGGACGACGAGCGGCCGAGAGAAGAAAGCAAGGCGTCAAGTTGGCATCTCTTCGCTCTCCTGCGCCGTTCTTCAACGCGAACATTGATGATAGCCCCTGCCCCCTCCCCTCCCCGTCGTATCGGTCGAAAACGAGAGAAAGAAGCGATATTCTTCGGGAGCGCAAAGTGCCAGGCTCGCTGCGCGCATGTTCTCAGAGAGGCGAACCTGGCTGAAAGGAACAGAATTCATCAATTTCACGCAGAGTCCTCGCGGTGTTTTTTGTCGGAGTAACGGGAAACCCGGAGGGGGCGAGATGCTCCGCTCGTGTCGCGCTTACGGGAGCCGCCGACTCGATTCCGATGTGAACGCGCACGGCTCGCTCCGGCTCAACTTAATAAACTTTAACGGTTTAACGGTTTCACGAGGTCGCGAGCGAGCGGATATGGGCAGACAATAACGCAGTCAAGAGACGAAGTATTAATAAAAGGCCGCGGGCGGCGCGTGTGCGTGCGTGCGTGCGTGCGTGCGTGCGTGCGTCGGCTCGCTCGCTCGAGCAGGATGCAATTTACGATGGGCAAATTTCTTCAAGACGAGAGACGAAGAACGTGCCGATTGCCGCCAGCGAGTATCCGTACGGACACAAACCTGTGTGTGTGTGTGTATGTGTGTGTGCGTGTGTGTACTTGTGTTTACATATGCATACGATGCGTGCGTGCGTACGTGTACACGGTGATTGCGTAACGATCGATCGCTGGACCGAGAAATAAACTACGTATAAATAGGACGCACTTGCACATCTGTGTGAGGTACGAAGAACATTGAATTTCTCAAAGTAATTGCGGGAACAATATACAAAGGGGCAGAGGGGAGAGTGGAGATCCGCAGGTACGCGCGTGTGTATCGTATTGTCCCTGGGCGCCTACCTTCGCGTGTTCGGTGGCCATGCGCGTGCCAAACGCGTGTCTCTCTCTCTCTCTCTCTCTCTCTCTCTCTCTCTCTTTCTCCTCCTCTCTTCAGGGCGTTCATAACTCACGTCGGAGGAGCGCGAATCGCACCGACGCGATCTGGAACTGAGAACTAGAGAAGTCAACAGGTCGAGTCTCGCGTTTCTCACATTCGAGTCCAACTTGGATACGTCGACCGACAGACGAGAGCAAGGGAGATGGAGGAAAGAGAAAGAGAGAGAGAGAGAGAGAGAGAGATGCAAGCAAGGAAATCGGCGTCGGTGCGAGCGATCGGCGCTCGAGCGGCGAAGGACGCGCAGGTACTCGGGAGGGGGGGGGGGAGTGGAGAGAAGTCGGCCCCGAGGGAGCCAACCTGCGGTGAACACGATGACACCTCACTACTCTCGTTACCTAAGGCTAATATTTACAGGCGACGCCCACGAGGGAGTCCGCGGGCGCTCGGTTAAAGCTTCCCTTGCATGTGCAACAACAACAACAACAACAACCCGTTGAGCCGTGCGCGGCCAATCGGAAGGGCGGAGGCGAGCGTCGGGGTGAAGTTCGAATCGAGCCGGAAGTCGAGGAGCGCGCTCCACCTGCGGCGGTCTTCATGGTCGCTCGACCGCGCGGAAAGAAATGTGACCGCGAAGATATATCGCGTGCGCGTGCGACAAAACACGCGCGCAAGAAGTCGTTGCGTAATCGCGCTGCGCTGTATTTTATCACCGCGACTGCCATGGAGAACCGCTCAGCCTTGAGCGTCTTCTCGCCTCGCGCGCGCCTTGCCGAAGAGGTAAAGGTGAAGCAATCGCTCGAAGCGGCTGGAGCTCTTTCGCTCGAGCTCGGCTCGGAATGCACGACGACGACCCGACGAGAGAGAGAGAGAGAGAGAGAGAGAGCTTGTTTCCGAAAAACCGCCGACAGCTCTCTGCGGTCTCAATCCGAGCGCGAAAAATGAAGGAAATGTCAAAATCGTTTCGCGAAAGCCGGCCGTAGACAGAAAGCTCGTCCGATGCGCTTTTTCGCCCTTCGGAGCGCGCGTCCGTTTTTTGCCCACCGAGAAGGCTCGGTTTTCCAGTGGGAAATCCTCCGGCGTCGCGGCGGATGACGAATGCAGCCCGGAAACTCGCAATGGAAAAGCAGAGAGGCTTTTCTCAGCGCGCTTGTACGTCGCGGGGGGAAAAAAACCGAGGCTACATGGGAGCGGTCGCGAAATGAGAATCGCGGGATTAGCCGGCGCGAATTAACGGAATAAATTGCCGGCCGCCGATCGATCGAGATCGGCGGCCGACGTGACGCGCGGTGCGGACACCCACCCGGCTTTTTCCATCGTGCTGCAATGCGACGCGCCTACGTGTTCTCCTATTGTGTGTCCCGGTCGAAAGCGTTCTTAATATCGCGGCAAAAGCCGCGGGTCGATATCGCATTATCTCGCGGACACAAGCGGCCGGGATACCTCGGGCGCTCGGCGAAAGGACGAGGGAAATTCTTATCGGGAGCGCCCCCGCGAGAACGACGACGGCCACATACTTCACCCCCTCGGAGACGACGACGACGACGGGTTAGGTGAAACGCCCTCGCGCAAATCGCCGTCATAATCGCCCGGCGGCCGATCAAAGGCGCCGATAATCGAGTCACTTTCGCCCGTTGTTGGAATGTCCTGTTAATTAGGACCGACTCGCGACTAAAAGGCGACATCGCGGCAGGATAAAGTCTCGAAGAGACACACACACAGGGCCGATATCGACGCGATCGTAGTCGGAATTTCCCGGGAAAACGTCTCACCCGCGCCGGCGCGGCGCGACGAAGCGGGCAAAAAACGCAATGCGCTCGATCGTCCCCGCGGATGGATGATGCGCGTTCGCGCGATGACAAGGCGAATTCCCTCGCACGCACACCGTCGCGGATTCTCCCGACCGAGCGATATTCCAATCGACATCCTTCGACTTCTTTCTTCCGTCGCGCTTTTCCACGTGGAGCTGCTCTGGGCCGGGCGCGATAGCGCCTTCCGCGAGGTCTCAAGGATGATAACTGATAACGCTGTCGCCTCTCCGGCGGATCACGAGCCGAGATTATGAACGACACGAGGTTTGCGGCGGTGTAATATTTGTTTTTTCTTTTTCTTCTTCGCTCCAACCGAATACAATTCTTTCGCACGTTCGTCGTCGACCCGCGTTGTCGTTGCGAGTCGCAATCTCAGCGAGGAAGGCGAAGGAGCTCGACGCCCGTCCTCGCGACATACGACGGCCAAGCTGATTACTCGCGGCGATCAAGGGGAGTGTCTCGACGAGGCACGTCGTCGTTCCGCGCGTTTTATCAGGCACCGAAGATGGGAAATTGCGCGAGCAGTCGCTCTAATTCCGAGCGGAGAAACCGAGCGGCGAGAACCGCGGACGCGTAACGTGGATAATCGTCTTTGATCGAGTAAAGGCAAGAAGCAGGAACGCCGAGACGAAAATCGAGTCGAGTCGGCTAAGAGGCAGGGGGGCGGGGAGGGGGGGAAACGAATTAAATCGCGGCACCGTGCGACGTTAGAGAGAGAAAGAGAGAGAGAGAGAGAGAGAGAGAGACGTATCGATCGGCGAGCGGCTGGCGCGAGAGAACGCGCCAACTTTCGCCGGATTCCGCGGCGACGCGAGGTGTCGCAACGCGGCCACGCGACTCAACGCGCCACTTCGCGCGGCGAGGCGTCACAAGTCGTAGGGGGGGGGGAGAGGGGCGAGTGAGAGAGGAGAGATGTAAAAAAATCCTCGACATCCAAGTATCGCGGAAGATGCTCGAGATCGTTATCGCGAGTACGCGCGCGCGCGCGACTGATATCTCCGGCAATACGAGTGCTCTCAAAGACCAGCGGCGGAGCGGGGCGGGGAGGGGCGGGGGACAGCCGCGCGCATGCCGGCGGCGAAGAGCGGAGACAATGGAGAGGAGACCGAAATCGGCGAGAGAAGCGCAATGCGACGGGCGGTCGTGAATGTATGCGGCGCTCGGGGAATCAGGGCGCGTGCCTTTCGAGGTGGAGGATGAACACACACACGAGCCGTTCCAATTTCGGGCCATCAGGATTTCGATATCGCAAATCCGCGGCCGGAGAGCGGCAGGCGCGCGGGGACTTTTCCGCAAAGCCGGAATCAGCCGAGACGCGGAAGCCCCGCCGATGCCCCAGCCAAATCGCGCTGGCGCTGGGGCTTTCTATAATTTGCGGTATTTCGATCGAGTGACTGCGAAATCGAGCGTGCTCGTCGAGCGGCACTGCGCGTGCGCGCGACCCGGCGAAAGTCGAGTCCCGCGAAGGATGCGCGTTGAGAGAATTTCACGGGCTCTCGTGAGAAAATCGCGTTCGATCGGGCGGGACGGGGCGGGGCGAGGAAGGAAGCTCGCGCGCGACAGCGCGATTTTCAAAGAACCGGGAATATAACGAGGGAACTCGGCCGGGGAAAAATGGAAATAAACCGCGGGAGCGACGAAAAATATGCAGCGAAGTGCCGCAGCCTTTCAGCAGCGCAGCTCGCGATTCGCTCGCTGCAGCCGTTTTTTCCTACGATGCCAATGGAAAGAAGCTTGCAACGCGAGTCTCTCGCAACGCCCTTCGTGCCCGGTAGGAAAATTCCTTTCTCTCCGCAGAGCTGGATTTCCCCGTCGCGGGAGTAAAACGTGCAAAATTCGAATGAAAGATCGAAATGAGACAAGCGGGATAAAGATGGCGCGGCGCGAATACGTGCGGAGGGCATCGCGAACCTTCCCCTCTTTCCCGCCGCCCCTCGCGCCGGCGCAGCTATTTGAATAACGGTTATATCGAAATAGACACCTTCCGCCGGGGGGGAGCCGGCGCGTGAACGCGGTTCATCCGTAAACGGCCGCGCTCTATTATTCTCAAGACGTCTTGATTATTTCTAGAAACGTATAAACAGCAGCAACAGCAGCAGCCGCGAGCGCGAGATTGCATGCCGCGCGCCGGCCAAGATCTCGTTATCCTGAAAATCGCGTCGCGAAATCGTGCCAAGTGCCCCGACTTATTTCACACCGTACCGCTCCCTCCCTCCTCCTCCTCGCACTCTAATTCATCCGTAACATCGCGACGTGTGCAAACGAACGCGAAGCGACGTGTGTGTACATTCACGTGTTGTTGGTAGGGGAGAAAAATACACCCGCCTCGAATACGGTGCAAACACACGAGGGATTCGAGCCACCTCCTCCCCCTCCCCTCCCCCCTCCAGCTCCTCGTCGACCTATCGCGGTGTTCGCGAAATTGCACTTGCCACGTGCAGCAGCGGATTCCCCCCCCCCCCCACCCGGCTAACTCCTTCTTTTCCCCTTCTCCCGCGCACCCCGCGCGCGCGGCGTTATTAACTGAAAATTGCGGTGACTCGCGATGCTGCTGGCGAGTCTCCTCGGGCTCGACCGGTTCTCCCCATCGATCGCGATCGGCTAACGACGCTAACGACTTCCCGACGACGAGGTGGTAGCTTATGGTGCGGCACGCACGAGAAGACGCGAGTGAGATCGAGCCTATTCATCATCGGCCGTCGTCGCAGCCGCGAGAGCCGGGGTTTCCCGTAGTTTTACGTAATTGCGCGAAGCGCGTCGCGAGCGCGATTCACTTCCGGCCGCAAGATGCGATGCAGAAGTTCGGCTGAGGAGCAGCCAGCCGCGACTGTCCGTTGAAACCGGTCCGTGCGAAACTCGTGGGAAAGTTGCGTCGACGCGGACGGCCGATACCGTGAAGAAGAAGTTCAGAGCCGACGACGCTCTCATCGCGAATACTGAAAGAATACTAAAAGTTTCGTAACATCATCGCACTTACGTGCCGCATTTCCTCCGCATTGTCCGCCCGCTGCGCGCGCGCGCGTTCGCGCGCGTGTGTGTATGTGCTGCTGCCTGAATTATGTGTGTGTGTGTGTGTGTGTGTGTGTGTGTGTGTACGCGTGTGTGTTAGCTCATCGCGCTGAATCGATCCCGGGGCTACGCTGGCTGACGTGTGGCCCAATCCAATTCTCAACGACCGTTTTACTCATTAACGAAACTTCGTTCCTACCGTTGACGTCAACGCGCAAAAGTGTTTCGCGTCTCGAGAGCCGTCGACTCGCTCGCTCCTCTTCCCGAGGGATAACGATCGCTCGCGTGCGGTTGATGCAATCTTCGCCATTGCAATCGCGATCTAGCATCCCCCCCCCACCCCTAGCGATCTCCACGTGGATCACAGATCGACTCGCGTACTCGTGAACGTGTGCGCGTCGCGTTTGCGTCTCTCTCTCTCTCTCTCTCTCTCTCTCTCTCTCTCTCTCTCTCTTTGTCCGCCGATACTCGCGGTCTCTCGTCTCTTACCGAGACTGCCAGTCAAGGTCACGTTTTGTTTTCCTCTTGCCTCTACGTCGGCGATTATCAGCCGATGATGATAGCGCTGAGACGTTTCAATCGCGACGACGGCGTATTATTTGCCTCGAAACTCCCTCGCGTCCTGTTTACGCCGGGCGAGCCGCGCCGGCGAGCTAAATTCACGCTCTTGATAACGTGTTTCTCCTGATATTGGTGTTATGATACAGAGAGAAAGAGAGAGAGAGAGAGAGAGAGAGAGGGAGAGGGAGGATATATCTTTACGCCGCGGCAATTGCGCGGGAGTGTTAACTGCTAATCGCTAATTGGCCCGGCCCGAAGGTGCCGAAAGTTTTTCTCTTCGTGCGCGGCTCAAGGTGGCGGCGAGTGTTTGCGTTCGTCTTACGCGAAGAATACTCCAAAGTCTCTCTCTTTGCGTTTTGACCTCGCACCGACCGGGAGAGCCGGGCGCGCTGATCCCCTCCGGAGCGCGCGATGTGTGCTGATAACGGGGGAAAAAACGAGTTTACACGTGACACGTGTGTTCCAGAGGGTGCAAAGCGAGACGACGACGCGAGAGAGAAAGAGAGAGAGAGAACACGCTCGATCTGTGCTCACGCACACGCAGAGGGATATTTTTCACGTGACACGCGCGAACCTCACCGAGAAGCTCGCGCCTCCTCCAACTGGCCCGCCATCGGCGATGGAAAAACGTGTTTCTTATATATAAGTATTATTTTAGATTACCGTATGTGTGTGTGTGTGTGTATGTGCGCGCGCGCGCGCGTGTCTGTATATGTGTGTATGTCGACTAGCTATATAAATACGGATCGTACTCGCACACTCTCTCTCTCTCTCTCTCTCTCTCTCTCTCTCTCTCTATCTCCCTCTCTCTCTCTCTCTATCTAGCATGCTCTCTCACGCACCTCACGCTCTCCTCGCACTCTCTCACGCATTCTCGTTCTCCCGACGAATAAAGAGGATAGAGACAAATAGTAGACAACAATGCACGATATGACTCTCTTCGGTGTTGTGTGTGGTATCTCCCTCTCGATTCGAGTGTCGCGTATGTATCGCGAGGGTGAAACGAGGGTGAACGGGAGCTGCGGGGGAGGATCGAAGGCAAGGATGCGCGTGCAGGGTGGGGGGAAGCGGAGGAGGGAGGACGTCCGACGCAAAAACAGCGAGAAAGAAGGAGACAGAAAGAGAGAGAGAGAAAGAGAGAGAGAGAATGAAAGAAAGGGGGGGGGGAAGCGACTATATGTACAAGGTACGGTGACATTTCCGACGCTGATAACAGTTAATCATTGGGAACAAACTTTGCACACCGCACCTCCTCCGCCGACGGATAATAAAGCTGTCTTGGTGGCAGCGGAGGGAAGGGGGGGATTAAAGACGGGGTGGCAGAGAAGAGACACACACACACACACACACAGATATATGTATATATATAGTATACAGCCGTATTCTCTTATTACGTTAACGAATCGACTTAATAACCGACTAAAAAAAGAGATTTCTCCATGTAAAAAGTGTGATGCCGGCGCATGATGTGTTGGCGTCTACGCGCGCGACGTCAAGCGAAAAATGACGATGCCTCCGATTCGAATTTTTCCGGGACGCCCGACGCGCGCCCGTCAATCTCTCACGCCGGTTTACCCCCCCCCCTCCCCGCGAGTGAGTGCGAAGTGAAGAAGTCGTCGCGTTGAAGCGAGACGCGCGCGCGCGTCTTGCCACGTGCCGCGTGTATCCTTCCCTTCCTGCCGACCGCCTTGATTTCTCGGCTGACATAAAACTTTCGTTCCAATCCCGCCGCATGAGAAAGACTCGCCTCCTCGAAAACACCCGGCCGCGAAGAAGCTGCGCTCAGCTTTCGCCGACGAGGAGCTTCCGTTTCACGCGGGAACGCGCGCGCGAGTACCCATACGCACACACACATACACACACATTCTCACGCACATCATCATCCCCCTCACGCTCTCATTCTCTCCGTCACATCTTTTTCTCATTCTCTCTCATTCTCTCTTTCATTCTCTCGCGCCTCTCTTACTCTCTCGAAAGAAGCGAATCACCAACATGACGACGATGACGAAGAAGCATCGCCGTGCGTCGACCCGACGAGGCGCGACGACGATCACGATGACGATGACGACGACGACGACGACGACGACGACGACGGCGGTGACGACGACGACGACGATGACACACGTGTATCCCACCTCCTAGTGCGAGCTGTCGCCGACGGTGCGTTCAAAACTCGGCGAACTCCTTGGCGCACTTCTCGGTCAGCGAGATCCTCAGGGTTTCCTCCTCGTACTCATCGAAATTGCTGGTGTCGCCTGGTCCCTTGCAGCGCGGTATGAACGGCGCTTCTATTCTTTTCTGGAAGACGGCTATCCAATCGGTGCTGGCGAACCACTTGTGGCCCTTGATGTCGTTGACGCCCGCCTTGAGGTTGCCGTACCTCTTGGTGAGGTCGACCTGCAGCAGGTTACGCAGCAGGTCCTTAAGGTCCGAGCCAAAGTGCGAGGGGAAGCGCGGCTTCCCGCTGACGATCTTCTCGTAGATCTGGATCGGCTGGTCAGCGAAGAAGGGCGGATAACCGGCGGCCATCTCGTAGACGAGCACACCCAAGGCCCACCAGTCGACCGCCTTGTTGTAGCCCTTGCTGAGGATGATCTCGGGCGCGAGATACTCGGGCGTGCCGCACAGGGTCCACGTTCTGCCCTGCACCCTCTTGGCGAAGCCAAAGTCGGTGACCTTGAGGTAGCCCTGCGAGTCGATGAGCAAGTTCTCCGGCTTGAGGTCCCGGTAGATGAGGTCGAGGTAGTGCAGGTACTCGAACGCGAGCACGATCTGCGCCGCGTAGAAGCGCGAGTGCGGCTCCGAGAAGCGGCCGACCTTGCGCAAGTGGCTGAACATCTCGCCGCCGGGGACGTACTCCAACACCATGTACAGGTAAGAGTTGTCTTTGAAGTGGAAGCGCAACGACACCAGGAACGGGAAACTGATCGCCTGCAGTATCCTCTTCTCGTTGAGCGTGTGCTCGACCTGCTTCAGCTTCACCACCTTCTGCTTGTCGAGTATCTTCATGGCGTAGTACTCCTTGGTAGGTTTGTGCTGGACGATCATGACGCGGCCGAACGAACCCGTGCCGAGGGTCTTGATGCGCTCGAAGTCGTCCAGAGCGGCGGTGTTGGTCGGATTTTTCTTCCACTTGTCCTCAAACTCCTTCTTCGCCTTATCGAGGAATTCCTTGACGCTCTCGGCGGCGTCGACCTTCTTGTTAGCGGTCGCGGCATTGTTGCCCATCTTAGCTGCCGCGCTGGCACTCGAGCCGGCCAGGGCTCTACGGGGCTCGAAGTAATCCAGAAGACTGCGTCTTCGTCGGCGTCCGTCCGCGTCCGCAGTCGCCGCCGAGCCTGCCAGGGCTCTGCCGAGCTCCGGTCTCTTCAGAATTTTTGCCACCTTCTATTTCACGCGCGCGCTACTCACGGCCTCTCTTCTCCGACGAGGTTCTCTCGCAACGTGGAACTCCGTGCCGACGCCAAGGACAACGGCGATTGGTCACCGGGTCGCGTTCCCTACTTCCTTTACCTCGTACCTCGACTAGATCTCTCAAGAGACCCGAGCCAAGTACACGACGACGGCGACGACGACGACCACCACCACCACCACCACCACCACCACCACTACGACGACGACGACGACGTCGACGTCTCTCGCGGCACGCGACCGGGTGCCGCGTGCGAGGCAGATTAATATCGTTCACAGATGAAAAGAGATATACAAATAGTCGACGACGAGCACGCACACTCGCACGAGTCACACGGTAGAAAAACGGGCCACACACACACACATGTATATGCACACGCAGGGGGAGAGGCGCGCGTGCGAGAGGGCACCCTCCCGGCGCGACCCGGAGTCCGCTCTCTCTCTCCTCTCTCTCTCTCTCTCTCTCTCTCTTACGGCTGCTTTCTTCCCCGCTGCTGCTGCTGCTGCTGCTACTGTCGAGTGTATTCTTCCCGACGACTGTCACGCTCTTCCGTGCGAACAACCTTCGCTCCCGGGCTGAGCGACAGAGAAGAGACAGCGGGGAGACGAGGGAGACAGCGGCGGATGGTGATCCTGCTCCTCCGTGGTCCTTCGACCGGAGGCACCCGACTCCCGGAGATTTGGCGCGTCGGCGAAAAATGGGTCAGCAGCGATCCTCGTCCGCGGCTCGCGCCATCTTCCCTGTCAATTGTACCAGCCCGTCGTCGTTGTCGTCCGCAGCGTCGTCGGTAGCGGCAGGGGCAGCGGCAGCGGCGCCGACGGCGGCGACGGTGCCGTCTCTCTCGGATCTTCCTCGTGCGATGCGCGTCCTCCCGTCCTCCGCGGCTCGAGAGCCCGTCCTCTGATCGCGCTCTCTCGACGTGCCGTTTATCCGCGGCCACACTCAGGCGTCCCACTCTCCCGTCTGCTCGTCCTCGAAATCAACAGCGCGGAGCCTCGTCCGAAGCCGGAGTGGACTTGGCGCACTCGCCAAGTGTCCCCGAAGGCAACTCGAGGGAACGCACACACCGACACCGTAGTGTGTCTTCTCTCCTTCTGTCTGTCCGCCGAGACGAGACTCGATGCGCGACGATGGCCAAGCGACACTCCGCCGACGACGACGGCGACGACGACGACGACGACGACGTCCCGACCGACCGACTGCTTGCTCGTTCGCTCGTTCGCTCGTTCGTTCGTTCGTTCGTTCGTTCTCGCCAGTCCTCGTCACCGCTGTTGTATCCCTCGTGATGATACCCACGGGTGAGCGAGGGGCAGCGGAACACTTGACAGAGGACAGATAGATGAGAGAATCGCGGGGAGAGAGAGAGAGAGAGAAAGAGAGAGAAAAAGAGAGAGAGAGAGAGAGAGCGTTTCGTCGGGCGAGAAAGAGTTATATTCGCGTCGCGCACCTCGTCTCCTCGCGGCCCGACACGAATAATATTACAGTCGCGGCGACACGCACAAGAAATGGATGTATCGCTCTCGCCCTGGCGATATCGCTTCGCGTCTCTCGACGTCGCGCCAAGCGCTTGGCGAACGGCGCTGCGGCACGCTCTCCCCAGGTGCACGGTAGTCTCTCGTCGCAGCTCGGCTCGGCTCGGCTCGCTGCCGCGAATCGGCGGAGGCTCTCGACGCGTCGTCGGCGACGAACGACGGCGATGACGTCGGCGGAGACGACGGCTCTCGCCGATGGGTCCAACCGTGCCTAAAGATGGCGACGCGACTCCTCCTCCGCTCGCTCACTCGCTCGTTCGTTCGGGGCTTTCGCACGAGTGCGAAAGTGACGAAGTGCCACTCCAGAAGGCGAGACAACTACTGTGCATCGCGGGTCAGCTGTCGCTTCGCCGTGTCACCGAGAGATGTAGCGTCGCACGAACGGCCAGCCTGGCCGGCAGGTGCTGCCGCCGACCGGGACGTCCGGAACTAAGCAGCACCGAGCCGAGCGCCGCGGCGCCGTGGCTTCGCGTGCGGCAGGAAACCCGCGATGGAAGGCGCTCGTCTTCGGACGCCGTCGACTTCGACCGATTCCTCCACTTCTTCGTGTCGTGTCGCCGCAATGACAATCGGAACTTTGCAATATTTATTCGCTCCGCCGAAGGTGCGCAGCGCGAACGAGGCTCTTTCTATCGCGAGCTCTCTGGAGAGTCCCGCGGAAGCTGTTAAAGAAATAAAACGCGGCCGTACCGCGCGGAAAAGCGGCCGGAAGACACCGAAGACACACGCGCGCGTGTTTCGCGCCATTGTGGAAACGCCACTGGGGCGTGACATATTTAACAAGCGGCTCGACAAGATAGCTCGCTCGACAGGAGTCAAATATTCTCAAAGGGCTCCCCCGGGAGTTCCCGGAGGTAAAGGTCGTCGAGTTAACGAGTGGTCTTTGGACCACTTTAATGCTATCTCTCTCTCTGCGTTGCCTTTTTCTCACAGAAACTGACCGACCTTTCCTCGCGAGGTCGGGGCACCGCAGGCGCTCGGCGCGGCCCTGCTTGCGGCGGTCAGCTCCGCGAAGACGATTGTGTCACGTTCTCCGGCACCGAGGACGGCATCTTTCTGAGTCAGCGGACCGAAAAACTCGCGCCGCCGCCGTCAAGGTCCGCCTTGGGAATTTGGAAGCGCTGAGGTCACGCGCGTGCGACGCGAAGCTCGGCGCGCGCGCTCGCTCGCTCGCTCGCTCGCTCGCGCGCGCTTTTATCTCCGTCGGATAACATCACGCCGGGGAGTCTCGCGCCTCGCGCGACTTATCGCGTCGCGAAACACGTGTCTGGTCTCGTATGCACACCTATCCACACGCACGCACGACGGACGTAACCACGAGGATTATCACGAGCGATCTAATCACGCCGCGCCCGATACGCCGTTACGCGATAAGAACTCTCTCTTTCTCTCTCTCTCTCTCTCTCTTTCTCGCGCGCGCGCGTCTCAGTGGAGTCTCTCATCATCCCTCCCTCAACCCTCGGCTCTTGGCAGTCCGCATCTGCGGATTCGCGATTTGTTAATGGCGAATTCACTGAAATGCATTAGGGAGGGGGGGGGGGCGATATGTAAAAGGGGCAATTCGCCGAAGGGCGTCCGCGATATATAAAGATGCCCGGCGAAACGCGTGGCATAAATTGCGGCCGAATAACGTACGCCGGCTCGCGTTGAATATTTCATTGATGAATCACTTGCGTTTCATGCGCGCCTCTGTGTGAACCTCGTGCATCCAACCGAATTTACCTTCCACGTTTCAACTGCGTGCTAGTAGTCGTGACTGTTTCGTGAATCTCGCGACTCGCTTTCTCTCTCTCTCTCTCTCTCTCTCTCTCTCTCTCTCTCTCTCTCTCTCTCTCTCCCTCTCTCTCCTTCTCTCTCTCTCTTCCTCTGCATCTCTTGCTTCTGTCCCTCCTCGCTCTTTGCCTCGGTCTCCTTGTCATAGTCTCTCTCTGTCTCTCGTGTCTTCAATTTTAACAGGAAAGAGTCTCTTCGTCATCGGGTGTATGTATGTGTGTGTGTGTGTGTGTGTGTGTACGTGTTTGACGAACACCGCGCAGATCGAGAAAACAGACCGCGCTAATATCATAATGGCGCTTCTTATCGCGGGATTATCGAATTGGAAGAGGTCGAGAGCGAGTCGGCGATGCACGAGCGAAACGAACGTCAAAGCCGCGGCTCTGCGTGTAATATTTTCCGCGGGCTGACGCACGTTGCCGCTTGAAAAATTCCGCTCGCGCGCGTGCAGCTCGGAGATAAAACAGACCGACCATTATGCAGACAAAGTCGAAAATGTTTGCGTTCGATCGGCGAGGCGGACAGTTGCCGAAAGTACAGCCGAGCTTTACCCGAGAACGTGCTTTCGCACGATGACATGTCGAGCGAAGGAAGAGAAAAAAGAGCGAGAGAGAGAGAGAGAGAGAGAGAGAGAGAGAGAGAGAGAGAAGAAACACATCCTTCTGCCGAATCTCTTGCCTTTCCATCCGACTCCGCTAGATGTCTCCCTCGGGCCGCGATGGCGCACGGGGAGACCATTCGCCGCGTGAAAAGAACGCGGCGGCATCGGATAAATCGGTCCGTTTTACGTGCGAGCCGTACAAATGTTGCCGGCGCTGCCACGATCGCGGGATAACAAACAGGACCTGTTGCTGTCAGAGTCACGTCAACGGGAACCGGTTCGAGAGGGACCGCGCGAGGGACCGACGTTAGCGATGCAGTCCCCGTGGTGATGCTCGGCGTCGATTTAAACGCGTATCGGACGCTTCATCGTAGTCATCGTCGTCGTCGTCGTCGTCGTCGCGCCGACGACAACGAAGTAAGCTATTAATAATGATCGAACGGCTATCGCGGTATCGAACCGTGCTAAGTGTACGGAAGGTTGAACACCCGCTGACCTGTGATAATCCTTTGCCGATTAGTGCCCAACTGTAGAAAGAGGCGGCGCGGTTTTAGAACGGTCGAGTAGGAAAGCCAGGCGTTGGAGAAACAGAGAGCGCCGAAGCGAGAGCGCGCGCGCTCGAGAGGAAGAGAGAGAGAGAGAGGTGGGGGGAGAGGGGGGAGAGAGAGGGAGAGAGAGAGAGGGGGGGACAAGTGGGAGGGAGGGGAAGAGAGGATGGGAAGGGACAGGTGAGAAGGGCGAGGAGGAGGACGGGCTGCGAACCGGTTGCTCGCGAGTCAAAAAGGTGCGACCGGGTCAGGCCGCTTGAACACACGCGGCATTTTCGTGTGTAACTCCGCGTTGTGAACGCCGCATTGGCTTAAAGGCAGGCGAGTATGTATTCCTGTGGCGTACGTTACATCCACGCCACGAGAAGCTTATAACCGGCGAGCGTAAGTGGCCGATTAATCACGCCGCCGCAACGTTGCTCTCGGGCTCAAAATGTTGGGCCCAAACGAGAGATGTATCGATGCACCACGGGAGCGGACCCACTGTTATTCGGAAGCGGCTGCGGGGAGAAATAGGGAGAGGGGGGAGGGCGGGTGTGCCGCGCAATGTTGCGCATTTATATATGTGAGAAACTTCTCTTAACACACGACATCTCGCGTGCTGAGACTCGCGGATGATTAGCCGCGCGGCGATGTTGAAAATATTATGGAGTCTCCTTATCCTCACCCGGAAAAAAGTATTCTCTTTGTAAAGTGATTTTTCCCATAGGCTTATATTCTAAGCGAAGCCTTTTACGGAAAAGGGATTCCTCTTTCGATGAAGCGATTAAGGTGAAGCTTTCATCTAAAATTTATTACATATTATTCTAACCGTTTCCCACTTATTTCAAGGTGAAGCATTCATCTAAAATTTATTAGATATTATTCTAACCGTTTCTCACTTATTTCAAGAGGATTTCCTCTTGTATCAATTAATTTTCCTCTTATATGAAGAGGAATATATGTTGATTTTTGAATGTCGGCTTCTTTTGTTCAGTCATGCTCTGCCTCCGGACTTGAATGAAAAAGTAACCATATGCTGACGGATCAGAATATTTGGTATGGTTTTCAAGAAAGGTATGTGTGTTGCTGATAACATATAGCGAAGATAATTTACCCATATTTGGTCAAATACAGTTTATAATCTGTTGCAAGAAGTTGAATAATATATTCTTTCTCTTAACTATGTTTCATACAATTGGTTATGATGAACATTTTTGTAGCTATGAAGTCTATAACAAAACTGATTGGAAATTTATTTCTTATGATCTTATTTCATTCGTGCCTTTACTTGTTGTAAAGGGTGTCCCAAAATTCACGCAAGAAGTAATTTTGACAGAAAACAGATTTATAATTAAAAACTGTAAATTTTTTATTGATTCATAAAGTATATAGTATAGGGTTATGTATGGAATAGCATATTGGGTAAACGGCCACAGCGAAGAGAGTTCGTTGAATGGATTATGGAACAACAACAAGTGGATGCTGATTTTTCGAACAAAATCATCTTCAGCGATGAGGCTCATTTTCATCTTGATGGCTTGGTTAATCGACAAAATTGTCGCATTTGGGGTTCAGAAAATCCACGAGTGATTGTTGAGAAACAAATGCATCCACAACGTGTCACTGTTTGGTGTGGATTTTGGGCTGGAGGCATCATCGGACCATTCTTCTTCGAAAATGCGGCTGGTCAGGCAATAACAGTTAATGGTGCTCGCTATCGCGACATGACAAACCAGTTTTTTGTGCCTAAATTGCAAGATATGGATGTGGACGACATGTGGTTTCAACAAGACGGTGCCACATGCCATATAGCCCGAGAAACAATTCAATTACTGCATGAGTCATTTCCTGGTCGTGTAATTTCCCGTTTTGGTGATCAGATTTGACCGCCCAGATCATGCGATTTAACGCCGGATTTTTTGGACTTTTTTCTTTGGGGTTTTTTGAAGTCTAAGGTTTATGCCAACAAGCCCACGACCACCCACGCCTTGAAGGAGGAAATTGAGCGCTGTATCAACGAAATTCAGCCACATTTATGCAAAACGGTCATGGAAAATTTCAACAAAAGAGTGCCAGCATATGTGCCAGCAAAATCGTGGAGGCCATTTACTCGATATGCTATTCCATACATAACTCTATACCGTATACTTTATGAATCAATAAAAAATTTACAATTTTTAATTATACAACTGTGTTTTCTATCAAAATTACTTTTTGCGTGAATTTTGGGACACTCTTTAGAACTGAAACCAGATATATATTACTTTTCGCTATATACATTACAATAATTTTTTTCAAATTAACTAGTACAACCAGTAAGAATAAAGTACAGTAAGAAGAAATAATAATCCTCTGAAAAAAAGATTGAATAATCTGCATATAAGAGGAAATTTACATTAAAGTCAATAAGATTTGCATTATACACAATAACATATATTATCCCTCTAACTTTAAGAACAATATGTTTATAATATTTTCCTCTTAATCTTCGAGGAATCTGCTTGAGGCCATGTTTAAGAATAAAATCCTCTAAAATTTAGATGATCCCGCTTGTTCTGAAATTACTTCTTTTTGGGTGCCCGGATTTTCACGCACGCACACACACACACACACACGCACACGCACACGCGCGTGTACGCACCGCGTCTCTGTCTCTCTCTCTTTCTCTCTCTCGGAACGGGCAGCCCGCGTAATTTGCATGCGTATGCACTTGGTCGTTTGCGAGCCGCGCGATATCGTCGGCGAGGCACAAAGGGCCAGTGGGAGCACGCCCGTGCCTGCTTAGGGCTAAGCCCGGTTTCATTCTACCCTACAGGATGCGCGCGTCCACGCGCTCTTTATTGATTCCATGACCCGAAGCGGCGAGCCAATTTGCCGAAGAGGAGCACACGCCAGTTTCTTACGTGGAACATTTCGCCGGCCGAAGAGCGCGCTCGGCTCGGCGCGTCGACGTTGCGAAACGAAAATTTCCGCGACGAGATCTTCGCCGAGGCGAAGGCGTGCGCGCGCGCCCTACGGCGACAAAAAGACCGCCGCTCGATCAGCGTGACGACGGACGCGGCCAAAACACGCTTGGCTCGTACGTCGTCACGTCGATTCAGCCGATCTTCCTGCTCCGTCCAAGAGCCGCGGCGATCACGACGACGATCGTCTCTCGCTGAGACGACGAGGAAAAAGTCCCTTGCCGGCGGACTCGGCGGGCTCGTTTCTCAATCCGCCGACGAGTGTGCGTCGGTCGCGCTATTCTCAGGCAGCCGGCAGAGAAACCGGCGTCATTTTCAATTCAAAGTCGCTCGTCCTGAAAACCCGTGAGCGCCCGGCCCGGCCGCCCCCGAGAGTGTGCCGCGCGCGCGTTCCACATGCAAATTATTCAGCAGCTTCCTTCACGCTTCTCGGGCGCGCTTTCACGCGGATCTCGCGCATAGATCGCGCTGGGTCCGCGAAAACGCGGACGTTCGCAATACTAGCCGCGTATCCTTGGGGCGGTATTTATTCGGGGTGCTATTAATAAGCGTGTATTCGTATGTAGGCCCCGCTGGAAATACGTGTCGACCGCGCGCGCCCGCGCTGTGTCGACGTCGGTGTATTTCCACTTCCAATTCCGCTCTCTTTCTCCGTTTCTCATCCTCTCTTCCTCGCTTCTCTCTCTCACCCCCCCCCCGCTCCGCTCCTCCTCCTCTCTTTCTCTCTATGTGTCGCAAGTCTCAGCGCGGTCTCGAGAACCTAGACCCGAAAGTGCGCGCGATGTGTACCTTAATAAGAGCGACACGTATCGCGGGGGGCGAGGGGGTGTTGGCGGGATCGAGTCCAGCGAAATGAAAATTTAGATGCGCGCCGCTATCTTTAGCGATCCGTCCCGACGCGCTGCAAAAGCCACCGGCGGAATATAGGTTACTGCCGTCGCGGAATAGACCCGCGGCCGTGGCGGACACATCCACTGACCCAGTAAAAGCGGGGCTCTCCGGGCTTTTATCGAGCAGGCCGCGAGCGGCACGCCGCGCCGGCACCGCCGCGCCGCGCCAGATAATAATTGCACGATCCGCGGCAAATATCGCGTTAATTTATCGCGACGGGCTCTCTCGTCGGCGCGAGTGCTTACGTAAGAGCCTCGAAAAAAAAAAAAGAAGACGCGAAGGAAAAACAAACCGCCGCTGCGAATTTCAGTCTCGACGGAAGCGTGTGGGAGAGATCTTCGGTGGAGAGAGGGAGGGGGGGGGGAGAGAGAGAGAGAGAGAGGCGGAGAGAGGGAGAGACAACGGCGCGGAGCAGAAAGAGACAGAGATGGGTGGGAAGACGGGGATGGAGACGGGGGAGGGCAGAAGGGGCGAATATTCCGCTGTTTGGAGCGCACGCGTATTTACCGTCGCGTCGCGCTTTCCTCCGTGAAAGTGCCGTCGAAAATTTTGAGCACGCCCGAGGCCGCGCTCAGGCGAGGACTATGCGTCGAAAGATACTCGGAAGAAGGTGGCATCTGGCCGCGCGTCTCACCTGCACACACGGTGCGTGTGTTACGGGCAGCTGCCGCTCGCTCTGGTTATCTTCGTGCTTACGTGGATTGTGTGCCGGCGCGCGTGCCAGAACAAAAAATATATTTACGGAACGAGCGAGAGCGGCACGCTGCAAGCGAGCGAGCGAGCGAGCGCGCAGCGCGGTTAAAAACGCGCTCGCTCGCTCGCGTCACTGTCGGCGATGACGACGACGATTAACGAACGAATTGTCATTGAGCGCGTTGAAGGTGTCCGCCGCCTTTGAGCGGATTCACTCGCTTCTCTCTCGTAGGGCTTCGGCCGTTTAGGAAGAATTTCTCCCCCTAAGGACGCGCTCGTTGGGAACGATCGATTACCTACGGACTACAGGCACGCGCGGGAGCGAGCGTACGCGCGCTTCTTTTTTTGCTGTATTTCCGTTACAAGCTCGGAGATAGGATTCGTTTAATACGGCCGTTTGATGCTCCGCTCGTCTGAACGGAGTTTAAACTCGGGTTACAGTTTCATCGACATCGGTCGTAGAAACGAGCGTAAGAGGCGAGCGAGCTCGCGAGCTCGCTCTCTCTCTCTCTCTCTCTCTCTCTCTCTCTCTCTCTCTCTCTCTCTCTCTCCCCTCTCTCTCTTTCTTCGTTAGTTTCGCTCCTGTGCGCGTGGCATAAACGTAGCGTGGAGCTGTCGCACACATTCAAGGCTACCGCGCGGTTTCGTGGTGGAAACCGCGCGGTTACCGTAACACAATGAAACGATTACGATCAGAGTCGAATGATAAATTTCCAGAGAGAGAAAGAGAAAGAGAGCTACTTGTTAGGTTCTGCCTCCGAAGCGCGCGCTTGAGAGAAACAGAGAGAGAGAGAGAGAGAGAGAGAGAGAGAGAGAGAGAGAGAGAGAGAGAGAGAGAGAGAGAGAGAGAGAGAGAGAGAGAGAGAGAGAGAGAGAGAGAGAGAGAGCCACCCTCACGCGAGTCCTGCGTGACGAAAAATTCCTCAGGAAAGCGGAAACCCGAGGACAAGCGTGAGCGCAACTCGCTCCCAAAAAGAGATCGAGCATGTAAGTACTCCGCAAAAGTGGCCGATTTCTCCGACGGCAAACGGCAAGTTATTGCAGCTTGCGCGCGGCCGCGCGAGGGAAAACCCACGTTTATCGAGAGTGGCTCGGGAGCAACCTGTAACATGGACGGCGTCACGAAGCGTGGCGAGGCGGGGTGAGGCAGGGCGAGGCGAGGCGGGGCGAGACGAGGTGAGGCGAGGCAAGGCGAGGCAAGACGAAGCGAGGCGAAGCGACCCGACGCAACGCGATGCGATGCGATGCGCTGTTCGTCGCGCACACCTTTCCCGCACGCCGGAAGTGCTGCCATGCCACGAAACTTCTAGAACTTTCCCAGGCGAAGCGTGGGGTATCGACGCAATATTGCCGCGCGTCGGACGGTCGCGGACGAGCAAGCGAGCGAGCGAGCGAGCGAATTGATTCGATCGACAGGTCGTCGATCATTCGCGGAGAGCCGAGCAGCGAGTTCGCGAGCGAACGAACGGTGCAATTCATTCGAATAAAAATAGACCGCTAGCGCCGGAAGCGCGCGGATTTTTCAACGCGAGCACCGACGCGATTGGGCGCCGCCGCGGCGGTGGGGACGACGGCGGGAGGGGGTAGCTCGTCGAACGCCGAGATGTGGTGTCGCTGCCGTCGCGCGGCGAACTCAGCGCCGCGAATAATTGAATGGGCGTCGTGTGCGCCCTGCGACGTTTCTTCATCCGACATGGATTTTTTATCTTACATGCGGGTCTGCGTAAGATCGAAAGTGTCGGGTGAGTAACTCTGTTTGCGAGGTTATGACGACGGGCGATGTCCGGCTCGTTCCGGCTCGCGTTATTTCTTCATTCGATCACTTTCGATCGCGTCCGAGCGACCGAACGATTGCTTTCAAACGTGATAATCACCGCCGACACGTCCGGTGTACAAAATACTCCAGGTCTATCCGAGAGAGCCCGCTTATCGCCGATGACCACGACAGCTAACCCGGTTCGGTGATCTAGACGACGCAATGGCGCTTGTAAGAGTTGACAAACATCTAACATCATCTCGGGACGAGTTGAATTCTGAACGATCGATCTCAAGAGGGGGAGAGAGAGAGAGAGAGAGAGAGAGAGAGAGAGAGAGAGAGAGAGAGAGAGAGAGAGAGAGAGAGAGAGAGAGAGAGAGAGAGAGAGAGAGCTTAGCAGAATCACACCACGAGGCGAATGTTATTTCGCGGGCATTTCGGCATTCGAATAATTCCGCACGTGAGATAACGATAACATGGCGCTGAAGACCGGACGGGACACTGAATAAAACATAAGGAACGAGAAATGTAGCGGTTCATCCATAATAAATGCATTGACGTATAGGAATGAAGAATCGAGCCGAAGTATATGTAATTCCGAGTGATTGCATGAATATGCAGCGATGTACCTTGCACCAATCATTCTATCCCGGCGCGATATACACAGAGAAATCACTTTCACGTATCTATAACGGCGTCGCGTCTTATCAGAATCATGGCGAATCAATTGGACAGAGTTTAGTGCACACAAGCGTCGCGTTTGCTTCCGCTCAGCCCATAATTATTAATAATCCATTAAACCTGACGTGCAACCATACGCGCGACGACATACCGATCAAACACCGGCCGACGCGACGGTATCGCATTTTGTCGACATTGCGAAATACAATTATATACACTTGGCTCTTTGGAGCGACTTTTCCATCCTCCGTCTTATCCGTCTTCTCACTCGTCAGCCCGCGACGACAAGGAGAGAGAGAGAGAGAGGAGAGAGAGAGAGAGAGAGAGAGAGAGAGAAAGAGAGCGATGTGCCTCCGATTTCCCCGTACAACGTACAACGGAGAGCAGCGAGAGAGAGCGGAGCGTGTACGCGCGCGCATGCGGCGAGCGGCGCGCGGCCGCAGCGCCATCTGTAAACGAGCGGGAAAGAAAAGCGTTTGAAGGCCGCCGGCCCGCCGGCCGGGCCGGAGTCGCTCGGGTCTCGGGCGAATCAGTGCGCGTTTCCCTCTGCCATTTGCGCGTCGGTACGCGGCAGTGGTGTTACCGGAATCCCCGACGTGTGCTTACCGGTGCGTAGAAGACGCGTATAACGCCGTGTTGGCTGGAGGTGTGCTTTTCGCAAGTTTGGTGCTGTTCGCGCGTGCATTTCTCGCGATCTAATCGATCGGTATGGCGGACACTGAGGTCAAGTGAGTATATATATGCGTTCAGCGGTGCGTAAATACGCGCGACTACGCGCGCTATCGACTCGTCAACGGAAAAATCGCACGACTCGCTCGCGCGCGCCTCGGCGTCGTTTGCTCTGTCTCTCTCTTTCTCTCTCTCTCTCTCTCACTCTCTCTCACTCTGTTTCTCTCCTTCTCTCTGTCCTCTTTTTCTCCATTCGTCTCCTCTGCTCGCTCGCGCGCCAAATTCACGAAATTCACGGCTTTCTTCAGCACGATCGGACGTTATCGCGGCCGTCTCGCCTCTTTTCCTCGGATTATCGTAGTCCCGTTCTTTCGTCACCCTCGCCTCGATCGCTTTCGAATTTATCGTGGAGATAGTCGCGCGGTCGTCGAGAAAGGTTGGCTAGCACGCGGGAAGGAGCGAGGGGGCAACGGGGCGATGAGAGAAGGGGCCGATGTGCGGTGCGGGGGAACGAGTCAGCAAGCGATGCCCCTCTCTTTCTCTCTCTCTCGCTCGCTCACTCACTCGCCTCTTCTCTTCTCTTCTCTTCTCTGTCCTCTCTCCTATGTGCCGTTCTATCTCTCTCTCTCTCTCTATCTCTCTCTTTCTCTCTCTCTTTTCCTCTTCGCAACGATATGTTCTCAGGGCGATTCGCGGGACGCCTAACGATCGCTGGAAATTACCTGCCCTTGCCGTCGCGCGCGCGACACGACGCGTGCTCTACTTGCGGCAGTTCTATGGCGGCATCGTCGTCCCGCGCCGGATCCTCTCTTCTCCCCTTGTGCTCCCCTTGCTTCTCCGTCGCCCGCGCTCGCCCGCGCACGATCGAAGACGGGTACATCGCCGTTGATCGACGGCGACGGCCTCGTGTTTCTTTTGTCCCTCGTAGCGTTCGGCTATTTCGTTTGTTTACGTTGCATATATATACTGCTGTATACATATATATATATATGTATATGTATATACATGTATACATATATGTATACGCGTGCGCGCGCGCGAATGGGACCCGCGTGCATAATACGTACACATATTGCATGCACGGTGTTTTCCGCGGGTAATGCCCACAGCGTGCGAGAATACACAGGGAAACCATCTTTCTTCCCCTCTTCCCTCACTCTCTGTCTTTCTCTCTCTCTTTCTCTCTCTCTCTCTCTCTCTCTCTCTCTCTGTCTCTGTCTGCCTGTCTGTCTCTGTATTTCTTTCTTTAGTCGCCTTGATTCGTAGCGTCGTTGAGAGACAACGACGACGACCACGACGACGACGACGACGACGACGACGCTACTCCCCCATCATCGCGTGACTTTCTCTCGCTCCTTTCGGCGAAAGGAACCGTCTTTCCTCGTTTGATGCCACGCGCATTAACTTGAAAGCGGTCGACGACGTATCGATTTGTCGGCTCGCGTCGATTAAACGTTGGTGATAACGCAACGACGACGACGATGACGACGACGACGGCGGCGGCGGTAGCCGTGTGGCTTTATCGCGTGTTGCTTCCCGCGGAAATCCTCCGCGAAACGCCGGTGTAATAATCTCGGCTGGCGTCTCGAGACGCCGATGCATTGGACGCAGAAAAAAGACATCTATATTTACTCGTCTTTCTCATAGTCCTTGATTATGTATACCGGTCGCCCGCCCGCCCGCGTTGCTCACTTGCTATCTTCGGGGCGAAGCAGCGGTTAAGTGTATAACGGCATATCCTTTGCGTTTCTGCGCGCGTGTAAAAACCGCGATGTCGGGAGAACAGCGACGTAAAGGAATCGTATGTTATATATATATATATATATGTGTGTGTGTGACATCGCGTTACACACACGAGCGTCCACGGATCGCCACGCTGAAGCCTTCGGCGTCGTCGTGAATCGCGCTGAGAATGTGGTGGTGACGGTAGATATTGACAGTGCTGGTGGTAGTGGTAATAGCAACGGCGGCGTTGGCGGTGGCAGCGGCGGCGCGAGGGGAACGAAGGGAGGATAATATTAACCTCGCTAGGTGCCGCCACAGTTGGCGTCCTATCTCTATTTCGCTCCGTCCGTCGCGTCGTCCTTGTTGCTAGCCAGCAATGTGAAACGGCAGCAAATACCGAAGCGGGAGCGCGCCAGCAACGGCTTGTGATTTTGAACGTACGATTGCGAACGTACGCCGAGCGTCGTCGTACATGCGTGCCTGCACGCTTATGTATATTATTATTTTTAAAGTCTTTATTCAGCGCCCCGGGACGGATTCTCTCGAGCGTGGGCCAACAGTACGGCAATTTATCGACGTTTCTCTGACGATTTCTTAGCTAATGCGTTATGTATAAGGTTGAATATCGTGCAAGTAACGCTAGTTGCAACGCTGAGTTGCAACGTGTGATGCGCCCGGTGTATGTTCATGCAGTCTGCGATTTATTTGCGTCTCTTGTTTGAAGATACAATACGATGCGCACAATCCTGTGATATATCTAAAAATAGGAGGATTTTCTCAATCATGAGTGGAAATTAACTCTGTCGAAATATAATGTGAATTTTTGCATCCAATATCGAATTTATCTCCAGGAAGATAGAAGTAAAATTTGCTCCACAGTTCTCTGCTCTCGCAGTCAATATTTGATTTGGCAGAAAAAATATTAATTATGCATATATATATATATAGTACATATATCCTACTGAAATCTTGCTAAAAGTACAATTTGACAAGATGTACTAACGCATCATGTGTTGTTTTCAGGGAAACCAAAGTCACTACCCCGCAGAAGAAGGTAGTAGAGGAGGAGAAGGTGGTGCAGGAAGTCGATGAGGACTCGAAAACATCTGAGAATGGAGACACGAAGGAAACCAAAGAGAATGGCTCCAGCGAGGAGAAGGAGAGCGACGAGAAGGAAGCGGAATCTACAGAAAACGGAGACTCCACAGGCAAGTGTTGTCATCGGACAGATGCTTCAAAGTTTCGTTATTCATTCTTCTCGCGCACTTGAATTTCGAAGCGAAAAGAAATACAAGTGGTAACAAAGATACCCCCGATTACCGTTCTAGATGCCCCTGTCGACAGCTGTTGCGTAAAGAGGAAATCTACGGCCGCGGCTGACGCAACGGAGGAAGCAACGGACGGCGCGAGCCCCGAGAAGAAATCGAGACTCGAGGAGAAGTGCGCCGAAACCGAGAACAACGGCGATGCGGAGGAGGCTACGGCCTAATATTCTCTCACGTTTATTGCTGACAGACCTAATCCATAGACGCAATTTTAACTACCGAGTGTGAGGCCAGAGCAGATCCGATCGTCTGCATTTTCAGGAAAGGTGACGAGCATTCGAAAAACAGGGGAAAAAAGAAAAGAATAAAGGAACACTTGACGTTTATTGCATTAAGGATTTTCTGTGTTCAGGATGACTGTGTGTCTCTCTCTCTCTCTCTCTCTCTCTCTCTCTTTCTTTCTTTCTCTCTTTCTGTCTCTCTTTCCCTCTTGCAGTATTTCTTTCTAGAAAGGACAACAATTGGGTAACAGTGTAACACGTGTCCGACGCTAAAAAAAATTGCGATTACATTTGATCATGAAGTGTAAAGTGTAAACATAAACCGTGTTCTATCTGTACTGGCATCCACGCGCATACATATTATATATTCATTTAGCGTTAGAGCCCTAAAGTATAAGGAAGTATATCGATAACGTTAGAAATAATATATTTCTATGATTATACTCCATCAGGACAGACGATGGTGCGGTGTCTGGAAAATGGGTACAGTTGTGCAACAAATATTTCCACCTACTACTACTAGTCCTCATTGTTTCCGACGCACAGACACACATGTAGCTTACGTAGACATATACACATACCTTGGATTATAATACATCGGAGATAGAATACGGATATTTTTCTGCGAATCAAAATACATTCCCGAAAATAGAGAGATTGCGATTTGTAACATATGCGACCATTTGCCAACGTCGTTGAGAAATTTAAGAGAGCGCCATTTCTGCGGTTGATTTCAAATATACTTCTGATGACGTATTATTTATGAAATTTGTAACTTTCAAAAAGAAAAACAATGTTTATTTAGACTTTAGGTAAATTATATATGTGCGTTAAAATCTACTAACACGTGATGTGTTTTTGCAGAAAATAACTTTTTTGTTTTAAGAGGTAAAAACGTTTCCGAGAAGCTTGTTAATTTAGAAGCTGATACATGCTCATATCTTATTAAAACTCGCTGTCGTGACTTTTAGGAACCGAAATAACTATTTCTAAATTCTTTTTATTCTTATCGTACGAAGCGCAGCTTATATAATACGTGTAACTTGTCTTACTTCGGTATATTCTTACAGTGTACTTATATATGCGCATATATATACATGTGTATATATATATATATATATATGTGTGTGTGTGTGTATGTGTGTGTATAAAAATGCTGATGAGTAAAAAAAGTTCGGTTGGAATTTTTGCTAATGTTGCATAAAAGTAACGAAATGACGATCGTCCGACAAAAGAAGCCACAGTTGATATGTAATTGACTCTACATATAAATACAAATGTGACTCCAAAATTATCACGATCTCGAGATTAATCGTGTGACGTGATTAATATAGATTAAACTACTAATTTGCATATTACATAAAACTATAATGACTCAGATGTATCAACAGTTTGTCTTTTTCTTTTCTTTTTTTTTTTTAGTTTCCAACGCGTGATCTTCGAGAGTTCGAATATTTTATTTATCGCGAAGGTATCTCAATATTAATATAGTGGTTCATATATATATATATAATTTCCAATATAATTATTTCTTGCTTTATGTGTAATGAATATAACTGTCCATCAGTGAGGGTAATAACATGTATGTTTAAGATTTAAAATGGTAAAAATGTGTTCAACAGTAAATACAAATAAAGATGGTTCTCTATATTGGCATTGTGAAATATCCCTCGTACAAATGAATAAATGCGCATTAAAGTATAAAAAGAAGGGAAAGAAATGAAAACTCTAATATCAAATTTTTCACACTCTGTAAATACTTATATGTGGTATGAACTCTGTAATAAAATATATACACTAATGAAACCATGAAACAAATTCTGAAAATTTAATCAAAGAGTTAATTGAATAATGTTGACCCAGATAACGCAAAATATCCAGAGGGCTCAGGAAGGCTACTTGGGAAGTAACAGGTAATCAATTTTACAATTGTAATTTTTAAATTTCGCGGGCGACTATTTAAGAGGTAATAGTAGGAGCCATCTATCGTGCAGGTTAAAACTAGTCATAATTTTTCATACATCACATTTGTGCATTACTACTTTTGTGATATGGATTTATTTCAGTTTTATTCATACGACATACACTTTTTTCCTATTTAAATAATACATCAGAGTTCTTGTGCCGACGTTATCTCATCAATTTGCAGAAATGCTACGACCGGTTTTCTCCCGACCAGGTGAGGTTATGTGAATTGACCGCAATGCGCAATTTTATTACATTAACAACGCGATATACTAGAGTTGACGAAATATGTCATTGCACAACGAATGTTTCTTTTATTATCAAAAGACAACCCGCAGTTTGAAGGTTTACTCACAGTCGGATCTAACCTATATGTTGGAATTTTACACGCTAACCTCTGATGGGAATGCACGCGCGTTTGATTCGCACAATCTAATATGCGGTATGAGATATCAACTTTTAATTCGATATTTTTATTGATCAGGGGATAACATGTGGCAAGAAGATAAGCCCGATATCGATGCCCATTCGTCTACGCAATTTATTTACAATGCGCACCGCTCACTCGCACTTGATATGCAACGTCAACGGCTTCCTATATTCAAAAACAAAGACCACGTAATTTACCTATTAGAGAAATACCAAACCCTGGTTCTAGTAGGTGAAACAGGCTGTGGTAAAAGCACACAAGTGCCTCAGGTAAGACTTGTGGAGATGCACGTATCTTACACTCTATATTAAGATCTAAGGCTAACGATACTCTTATTACAATATTCATAAACATCCTAATTATCCTCATACGAATGTACAAAAGTTAAGAATTACCAAGATTGCTCTATGAGCAGCTCTATGAGCAGCTCTATGAAAAGAAAGGCAGCTTGGTGTGAGAAGGTAAGAGTTGTGTGTTATCTTATCAACGTAGCGAGAAATGGCAGTCTATCTAACGAAATTACGAAATCAAGGCATTGTCCAGTTGCGTATTTTTACGAAAAGTTGCAAGTGGCTAGTGACAGGATTGTTTCTCGACACACACTTCCTCTGCCGAGTGGCAATATTGTGCACGCCTATATATACTACTACGTACACACGCACCATGTTGGGCTGTCAGGGTTGCAAGTAAAACAAGCAAATACGCCGGAAGTGATTACAGCCCACTTTTTCGTCGCGAGTGTATTATCGGCGACAGTCGAACGTCAGGACGGTCTATATTTGCACACCAGATATATATATATATATATATATATATGCATAACATACACCTTTAAGCAACATCGATCGCGATGTGACTTCCGATATATTTCGGTTCCCGCTTATTTACGCGCCGCAGAAGTCAATTCCTTGTTAACTCGCGAGTAATTCCTCATTTACCACCTACCACGATCTTCGCACGAGAAGCGAATGTAATTCAGCACCGCGTGACTAATTTAACGACGATTAATCGCGTGCGAGAATTTAACTGCGAACGCGAGGACGCGCGCGCTGCAGATATCATTTTTCTTCCTACCTTCTTTCCTCTCTCTCTCTCTCTCTCTCTCTTTCGCGGGCCACCCTTTGCGCCGACGACAAGAGAACGTTAAAAAAGAATGTTCCCTCTCCCAACGTTATCGCGTTTACTGTTATCTGTATCCGCGCCGTTAGTATCACACGGCTTTTCCCCGTCGGCCGTCGTATTTCGACGCGACGCACGTTAATCGCGCGAGTCCTCTCCGCCGAATCGGATTAAAGATAAGCCGCGCGGATCGATCGTCGATACTGACCTATTACGGAATCAAGTGAAGCCCGTGACAGGTAGAGACAATTAACCGAGGAGAGAGCGTTTCGTCTGTCAGCGCGGTCGCGGTAGTACGTCGACGGATCCCTTCGGCGATCGCACGACCTCTCCAGGAGAGCGAAAAGAAAAGAAAAAAAAAAAGAAAGAAAGAAAGAAAGAAAGAAACCGTCGAAAGTGGCGAGAGAGAGGAGGACTGTTCGCGGGTCGCCGACGAGTCGCGCTTATCCGAGCCACGAAAATATCGGCTGACGCGGCGCCGTAATCTGATCAATGAGGAAGCTAAAAGTGCTGCGCTGATAACAGCCGGTGTGTGTCCGCCTGATGTGTTCGTGTTGCGAAATATTTCAGAGTACCATGGGATAATGGCACGATAAACCGCCCGCACCCTGAGGAACCGGACCAGCGTACGTTCTTGTGCGACAAAGATGCGTGCATGCGGCCCGACCGGCGCGACCGACAATTTCAAGTCTATCCGTCGTAATCACCGTTGTTGTCGTCGGCGTCGTTATCGCTAGATAGAGTGCTCGATTATCCATGCGTCAGTATCCTCAGAAACAAACGCACGATCGCATCGCATCATGAAAAAAGAACTGGCCCGCCGCCCGGTGAAAGTGCTGTGCGTATTGTGTAACGTTAATATTTGCCTATCTCTGAGTGGCCGCCGTTGCGATACAATCGACGTCGTATCGGCGTAGAAACTCGAGCGATCACGACCGAATCGATCACAGCGGGATCGAATGTATCTGGCGAGGAGAAAGGACGAAGAGGAGGATCATTCTGAAGAGCAACGGCGCGGCGGACGGGCGATTCTGCGGCGACCGGCGCGATCTTCGACGAAATTCTCATAACACACGTCGCATCCCGATTGTAGCCGGCTGACGAAGACAATCGGTCATGATTGCCGATAGCAATAATAGTAAAAGAAATCATAATAATCTTGACGGTAACAATATCGATAATAATCACATCAAGAGAGATCAGTAATAATAATATACAATGGATTATAGCGAAGGAAACGAGCAACAGGAAAGTCGGCCTTGAAATTGAATAAAGCATAATAATAATAGTAATAATAATAATAATAACAACAATAATAATAATAATAATAATAGTCAGCCATCGATGAATTGGCAATCAACCGTGACAACAATTGACCGAATTAAACAGACAGGCGAGACACTCGCCTCGGCCGGCGACGAGATAAGCAAACTAGGCGAGACGAGGCACCGTTTACCACCGCGGGAACAGTATTGCAAGATGTTGTGTTTGCCGGCGTTCACCAACCGCACCTGCCTGGCGTTTTCGCTGGTGTTGCTGGTGTACTTCCTCGGGATGGACCTGCTGCTCTACTTCAGGGCGCAGAATTACGACGTGCGGCCGCACGCGAATGACACACGCGGCGGTGCGACGTATCACTCACCGATCTTATGCGATGTGGATCCGATTTGCATGGTGACGGTGAAGGCGATGATGTTGGACCACCCGAATCACTTCGTTCTCAGTCCACTGGCGTCTCTGGTAGACTACCTGCTGGGTATCAGTCATTGTTGGACGTGGTTGTCGCCAAACGCCATCAGCGCCTTCCACGTGCTGGTTGCCATCATCGGCGCCCGTTACATCACGCGGAGCTCCCTCACCCACAGACGGCTGGGAGTGCTTCTGTTTCAAGTGAGATCCTGGCTGGACAACCTGGACGGCCATGTCGCCCGGCAGAGACGCAACATCGAGGGCGAGCGATCGGACGTCGGGTCCATGGGCTACCTAGTAGACGGTGTGTGCGATGGTCTCGGCTGCGTCGCGCTCATAGTCGCGGTGTTCCTGCTGCTGAAGCGCAACCGTCGCGCCTGCTACGAGCGCTTGCCCTCGAATCGTAAATCCGCCGCGTCCTTGGCGACCCAGCGTGACAACGGCAGCTCCTCGATCAAGACCTCTATCTGGAACTCGCCCTTGTATCATATGCTGCTGGTGGGCGTGCACTTTTTACTGACGAGCGTCGCATGGAATCGCTATATATTCGTGTATCAGGACCTCCTCGAGACCGACGACAAACCGCCTCTGCTCAGCATGGAGCAGTTTTATGCCAGGCAGACCAGCGTGCTTAGGAGCCCCGTCTTCTGGGCGGTCGCTCTCGGCTGGAAGATCTTCAACTTCCACGCGGTCATGGATTACATGCAGCTGGCGATATTCTTGGACCGCATCTGGGAGTACATCAGACTCGTGCGCTGGCCGGCATACGTTGTCCTGCTGCTACTGATGTTTATCAGCGAACTTCATTACTTACATGTTTATACTTACGTGCAAACTATACCGTCGGTCGCCAACGTTTACACTTTTCTCACGAACACGCTTGCCGCTCGATGACAGTCCGCTGTCCACTACTGAATGTCTCATGTTTGTTTACCGTTAATGGAAATTCTTTTCTTCAGGAGCTTACTGTCAAACCGCCTTCCCAGTCTCCCTCCTAGACAGGTCATGCATTTACAAATCTTTCGCGCTTTTAGTTCTAGTATCTTGCCTTACTGATCTGTACATGATCGACATTCTCCGAAAGCACGAAAGCGAAACTCAAGGCAGTTTGGAAATAAGCTCTGTGATTGTAATTAATATCTTCGTGAAACTCTGATGTTGTGATGACCGTTGTGATTTTTTCTTTTCCTTTCATCGCACAAATGCGACGGCGACGCTTATAACTCTCTTTCTGCAATAATGTCGTGAAACGCGCGCGTGTCTGGGTACATACACATTCGAGGAAATATATAACGATGGAATTTTCTTAATTGAATATATTAACGAAATTTTCTTAATCGAACAGTCGCGGCTATCTCACAACGCGATATCCAACGCAATAGAGACGCGGTTACGAGAAAATGAACGAAATTGTCCTCAGGTCCCGAGGAAGATTACAAGTCGAAGACAATGATGTTGACGAAACGACATATTATCGCCGATTCTCACATTGCGATTTCCGAGTCGCATATGTTAACGTGCGAGTACAAAACTAACGTTTTACTTTGTGTTGTTGATTTTTACAGCTATTAATATTATAGTTTACAAATTTTGTGTGCGTGTGTATGTATATGTATGATGTGTGTGTGTGTGTGTGTATGTATGTATGTGACACGCATACCCACGTGTTCTTAAGCCGACGTAAGATGATATTACAAGCGGGTGTAAGGTTTTGCCTTGCACCTTGCTGCCATGCATATAACATGAGGGATGTTTTGAAGTAACAATAAGTTTAACGCCAAGACGCGCGACGCTCGAACGTCTGTTTCCTTATCGCTGACTGTAACTTGCATTGTACTGTCCACGGCGCGAAGTGTGTCAGTCGTTGACTGCATAGTTAGGCATATTTTCTTTTTATCTAATCCAGTGCCAAGAGCGCGTTACCTGGCTCGCAGCGCACGCCCGCGCGAATAACGCAACAGGCCTGCGTAAAAACCTGTTACGTGCGCGAGCCGGAGAACCGTGAAGTCTCGTTAACGGGTAACGCGGAGTCAATGTCGATAACTGCGTGTTCGACGTGAGGTCTCCCGTTGAATTTGAGAACGCTGCGGCCAGCTTTTGTGTATTATTTTTATAACGAGGATCTTTAATAAAATGTATTTATATAAATCATAGTTGTGTGTGGAATACCGTGCGTTCATCCGTTCATCTCTCTTCCAGCGAATAATCTACTCCCCCGGTACACTCTCGCTTTGCAATTTGCTTCGGAATTACATGACAATGCATATTAATTTCTTAACACACACCCCCGCCGTTTGTTGTTACAAGGGCATTAGCGCTTTCATTTACGCAGTAATGTGGATTTTCTTGATTCTGATGTTTAATTTATATCTTGATAATATCTTGATAATATCTTGATAATATCTTGATAATAATAATAATACGTACACAGCGAGTTCGAACCAATTAATGTCACGTTGTATGTAAATCGCCTTTGTTATTCTTCAGTACCTCCTCGAAGCAGGATGGTGCGCGGACGGCAAAAAGATCGGTATCACGGAACCTAGAAGAGTCGCTGCCACCTCTCTGGCGAATCGCGTGGCCGACGAGCACAATTGCATTCTGGGGACCACCGTGGGTTACTGCATACGCTTCGACGATTACACCGATGACACGACCAAGATCAAGGTAGGATATCGCGCAAGATGAATAATGCGAGCTCAGGGTGCATAATTCCGTACAATTGCGGATAAAATATAATTTATTAATTTGATTGTTGCACCTTCTTACTCGTAACTTTTATGTCACACGAATCCGATATCTCGACATTCGTGTCGTATCGTAATATTTATTACCTTTGCTCTTATTTTATTTTCTTTGCTTCACTTTTTTTCTAATCTACTTTAAATAAATTAAAAGATTAGTTTATTTAACTCAGTATAAACAAATACAATAATATGAAAGAATATGAAAAATGTCGCAAAGAAATCTGTTATTATTTATTATTATGCTAATCTACTTTGTTCTATCGGGTTGTCCGGAAAGTAATTTTGATTTTTTTAATGAAAATGAAAGAGACGATATTTTTAGAATAGAAAGAAAAAGTTTTATTCGGTTAAGTAATGACCATTTTGTTCCGACATCTTTTGTCATCTTTGAGGCAACATGATTTCACGCTCATAGAACTTCTGGTCCTTATTGGCAAAAGACTGGATTAGTGGTTTTTGACACCATCGGTTGAATCGAAATTTTTACCATCCAAAGAATTTTGCAGTGACCGAAACAAGCGATAATCGGATGGTGCCAGATCTCCCGAACAACCCAATATCTCTCTATGCTATTTATTGTTTTACTTTTACTCTAATCTACTCTGTTCTATGCGTACTTTTTCTCAGTGGCTTTGCTATTGTTTATTATTATGCTTAATCGTTTCTATTTGTTTAAGACATCTCTCATATTTGTGTTTTGGTTTTCTTTTACCAAGACACTAATTCGCACACCTTGTTTTGTAGTACATGACGGAAGGCATTCTCCTGCGGGAGTTAATGAGCGATCCGTTGTTAACAAGCTACTCGGTCATTATGCTGGACGAAGTGCACGAAAGAACGCTTCTGACTGACATTATTATGGGGCTGCTGAAGAAAATAATCAGGGTGAGTCCATTAACATTCGCACGCGGCTGCGGCGGATTACCATAAATTGAGACGCGGGAAAACTAAATGTTGTTTTTGCAACACGGCGCAGAAACGGAAGAGCCTGCGAATTATCGTGTCGTCGGCGACCGTGGACGCGGAGGAGCTTCGCGACTTCTTCAACGTGAACACGACCAAAGACCCCGACAAGGATAGCGCCGTTATAATGAGCGTCGAGGGACGCCTATATCCAGTGGAAATATTTTTCCTGAAAGGTACACTCGCTAAGAGCCATTTGTGCGATTAATAATCTCGCTGTCCATTGTCTCGCTGTTTAATTGCGACCGTGCGTGAATTGCGTTGCAGAGCCTATAGCGAATTACGTTAATGGCGTGGTAGACACCGTTCTAAAAATACACGAGACGGAAAAGCCGGGTGATGTCCTGGCGTTTCTCACGGGACTCGATGAGGTCGATCGAGCCGTCTCTCTCTTGTCGGAGCACGCGGAGCTTATCAAAGACGGGAAACGTGAGTGATCTCTCCAAATAATCTTTCCAGTTCTTTCTAGTTCTTGCACGGATCCTGCGATATGCATTATTCAACGCTGCTGCGACGAAACTTATTGTTCCTTCAGTGACGCTGGAAATTCATTTTCCAAAGTTACGGCCAATTAATTTCCTACAGCTCTTCGTCGTCCTCGCGTTTTCGTGCATAGCGAACATGACAATGTAATATAATCCGAGAACCTTATAACCTTGTTCACGCAGCATTTTGTTAATTAATGCATACGAAGGATGAAAATGTATTAGTGACTTAAACGTAGAAGTAAATCTTCATGATTAGAGCGAATAATTGCTTCTCAGCAAAACTGCTGCCATTACCGATGTACGGGTCGCTGCCGAATACGGAGCAGTTGAAGGTGTTCTGGCGGGCGGCCAAAGACTCTCGGAAGATTATCGTGGCGACTAATATCGCGGAAACGTCTATCACCATTCCAAATATAGTTTACGGTACGTTAGCTGTATGCGCCATTTACTCTTCCTTCCTCCTTTGGCCGAAATACGAAGTAGTCCGGTGAACTGACTCGGCGACATGATTAAATTCTTCAATGTGTGCGCAGTAATCGACTGTGGTTTCGTCAAACTCCCTTGGTTCGAGGCGGAAACCCAGACGAATAGCCTCGTTATTGTTCCCGTATCAAGAGCTTCCGCCGACCAGCGAGCCGGCCGCGCCGGTCGTGTTTGCACAGGAAAAGCATATAGGTAAAAGAAGAATAAAATATCTACGGTATCAAAAAATCCAATCAATAGCCACTTTCAAATTGAATTGTTTCATTTCTATTTCATTTCTAATATAATTATGTTTGCCATATGAGATCCGTCATTTTGAATTTTGTATTTTTACACCGGATTCGTATTCAGCGATTTTAAAAAACCTTGAGTAACAAGTTTCGAGCGGATTTGACTGATTTTGAAAGTCCCATCCGCCATATTGGGTCTCTGCCATTTTGAATTTTGTATTTTTCACATCGGATTTGTATTCAGCGACCCAAAAACTTCCAGATAATGATTCTGAAGTATATATTATTATTTAAAATTTCATGTAAACGAATTTATGCTCTAAAAACGACAGCAGTTTTGTTTAGTATATGCTTATTAACAGCAAATTACTTATTTGAAATGAAGTTGAATTTGAATTCTAAAAGTTGATGTATTAGTTAAAGGAACATTTCAATAGTCCAACAATATCAAATATGCTAAAGAAATATGTGAAAAATTTAAATTATTGGAAAAACAAGCTTAGATAATAGGTGGCATTCTAGGAGGCACCACTATGCAGCAAAGGATTAAGTAATGGCATACAGAGTGTCTGCAACTCATGAACTCGGAAACAAAGACGATCTTGAATTTATTCTTGATCATTGAAAGACATTGTACATAAAGCAGTATAAAGAGATCTCTTTTGCATCAAGTGTAAATTATACAAATACCTCTTATGTACACATGTATAAAGCAACTAGGAGGCGATAAGACCAGTGACCTTGGTCCGACCTTATCGAGACTTTTGTCTGAAACACTTTTTCGAATAATGCATTTCTTTCGAGGTATTTAGAACGGGCATTGAAAATGGGTCTTACCCTGTCTGATCTAACTTGTAAGAAATGTTCCATTAAATATGATTATAAACTGACGAAATAATCGTTTCAGGCTGTACACGGAGGAGGCTTACGCTGGATTCTTCGAAGCGACGCCACCGGAAATGCAACGCTCGGATTTGGCACCGGCGATATTGCAATTGAAAGCCCTGGGTATTGACAATGTGCTGCGCTTCAATTTTCCGTCCGCGCCGCCCAGTAAGAATCTAGTCACGGGCTTGGAATTATTGTACGCGCTGGGTGCGATCGATGGCAATGGAGATCTGACGATGCCGTTAGGCCTCACCATGGCGGAGATACCTCTGGAGCCAGTGCTGGCGAAATCTTTGATTGTCTCTGGTACGAACAATTACTAATATACTCTTAAAATAATGCGTAAAAGTGTTATGCAGGCAAAGCCGGAGAAACACGAATAAAAGCGTGAGAGAAAAGTAAGGTCTTTCAGTCTTTACACAGGCTTATGAGAAATGAAATTCTGGCAATGAGAGAATATTTTGTTGATCGACAATAGGTGAAATGGAATGTTCGGAGGAGATCACGACGATATTCGCTCTTCTGCAAGTTCAAAACGTCTTCGTGCAACCGGGTGGGGGACAAGCTGCTCTGAAAGCGAGAATAGCGCATCGTAAGTTCGAGGTGGAGGAGGGCGATCTCTTGACCTTGCTGAACGTCTACACGGCCTTCCAGCAGAACAAAACGTCCGCCTGGTGCCAGAAACATTTCCTCAATTACAAAGCTCTGTGCAGGACGACGGAAATTCGCACGCAGATGCACAAAATGCTGAAACGCTTGGACATTCCGTTGATATCTTGCGATGGTATAAAGTCTGCGTTTATTTGGAAGCGATGTTATCGATATTGAATTCTCGAAAAGAAGTGTAATTATATTGTTGGTCCTTTTCAGGAAATATCCAACAAATTCTCAAATGTCTAACAGCCGGTCTCTTCCCTAAAGCGGCGTATTTGCATTATTCAGGTGTATATAGAACAGTTCGAGGTAACACGGACTTATTCATTCATCCAAACAGCTGCCTGTATACCTTGCAGCAGCCCCAATGGTAAGTTTAAGAGCTGTTTTTCGCATCCTCTTAATGGGAGTTCTTGCCTGTCTCATTCGGTCTTGTTTCATTCTAGGCTCCTATTCTGTGAGATCTTGCAAACCACTAAAACTTACATGAAGGACTTGACGGTTATTCAGCCAGATATGCTGCTAGAATCGGCGCCGCATTTTTACGAGAAAACATCTATTGAATCTGTTTAAAGTATTCGTGTAATTATAGAAATAAGTAAGAACAATTATACAGAACGTAACGTGTATGTACATATGATTATTGTCTATTTATAAATGTAATTTTTGCATTAAGAACCATATCAGTATTTTTTTAAGTCGCGCGTGTAATCGCGTGTCTACGTAAAGTTCATTTCCAACTGTAAACATGACTTTTATTTCTCATGAAATGTATATGTATAAGAGAGAATGAATATTTATTTAATAAAAATATTTTTTTAATTTACAGGCTAAAATTTATATACACGTTCCTCGATATATAACTTTTACTATATGCAATAAAAGAATTTTTCAAGTGACATATTCCTAACTAGAAATTTTAGGAAACGTATGGCAGTTAACATACATCTTCTGTTGGATATAAGTATAAATAATATAAATAATATAAATCGGTTATTTTCTTATAATTTATCTCTACAGTAGAAACCGAAAATTATCGATATCTTAATTGTTCGATACTTATCGATAGTTTGTAATGTGATTATCGATAATTATCGATATAGTTTTTGATAATTTCGTGATTTTTAAAAATCGTGATTAATTTTTAAAAAAATTAATAAAAAGGATTAGCAAGTTGGCGTTATTACAAGATAGCGTTATGTTATGTATTAGGTGGTTGCATTGAAATCCGTTATTTTTTTATTTTTTAAGCATTTATTTTGTAAAAACTTGTTGGGTTACATTAATCAAAGTATTTTCCCTCGGATGTTACTACTTTCTCCCACCTCTCTGGCAAAAGCTGAATCCCACGTCGAAAGAATGCCCTGTCTTTTGACGTTATCCACTCATCTATCCATTTTTGGACTTCCTCGTAATTACGGAAGAGTGTATCTTTTAAGAAGTGTTGCATCGACCGGAACAAGTGATAATCACTTGCAGCAAGGTCCGGAAAATACACTGGATGAAGGAGGCCCTCCGATTCCAGTTTCATCAGTGTTTTTTCATCGCCAATGCAACCGAGTGGCGCCGAGCGTTGTCGTTGGTTGTTGTGCAGTAGAATTATCTTTCGGATTCGTCGTGACACGGATAGACAGAGCAGGCTATGAGTGCGTGCGTGATGGGGGAAATCAGTAAAGAACCGTGGACACTGGCGTCGTTGATTCATGTGTACGGTTGTACGGTCATAGACATAAAGGTTGTCACTTTTTTTTAAATAACTTTCGGGACGTATCCCGACTCGAGAAGGATGAGAGCTGCTGCTCCGCCTACGGAGCACGCCTGCGCAGTGCGACTCACAACAAAAGGCGAGAAATGAAATATACGTGGTATGACATAAGTATGTAAACAATTCTTACGTAGAATTCTTACAAGTTCCGCTGCATTGATGTTGAAACATTTAAATTATAAAACACATAAATTACGTTGAAACATATTAATTATGTTGGAAATTGTTTTTATATTTGTCTATAGCGGAAAAGAATTAAGGATAGATATTACGAGCAAAATGTAAGAATTGTTTACATACTTATGTTATACCACGTATATTTCATTTCTCGCCTTTCGTTGTGAGTTACTACGCAGGCGTGCTCCACAGGCGGAGCAGCAGCTCTCATCTTTCTCGATTCGGGATACGTCCCGAAAGTTATTAAAAAAAAGTGACAAGGTCTCTAAAGGCCTATCTACAATGGCTGGAATAATAAGTTTGAAAGCGTAAGCGGTAAGAAATGAACCAACCACAGTCGATTATTCTTATAATACGACGGTGGTTGGTTCATTTCTTACTGCTTAAGGCTCGTCTACATTAGTTGTAAGAGTAAGGCTGTAAGGCTGTAACGTAAGCTGTCAGCGAATGAAAATATTTCATTTCGTGTTTTACAACTTTACAGCCTTACTCTTACAGCTAATGTAGACGAACCTTTAAAGGCCTTCTACAATAAGCAATTAGTCATAAGCTATAAGCAAATTTACCAATCACAATTGATTATTTCAAAAATAATCGACTGTGGTTAGTCAATTTGGTTACAACTTATGACTAAAGACCCATCTACAATGGCTGAAAGAATAATGTTCTAAGCGTAAGCAGTAAGAAGTAGACCAATCACAATCGATTATTGTAAGAATAATCGATTATGGTTGGTCCATTTCTTACGCTTACAACCTTATTCTTGCAGCCATTGTAGATGGGCCTTTACAGCTTACAACACATATTGTAGACAGGCCTTAAGCCTATTCTACATTAGTCGCAAGTCGCACGGTCGCAGGCAAATTGATCAATCACGATCGATTGTTCTGTTTACGATCGAAGAATAATCGACTGTGATTGATCAATTTGCTTGCGACTTTGCGACTTGAGACTAATGTAGAATGGATTTTATTGCAAGAATACGTTCGCATCACTTGGGTGTGGCACAATATTTGGCGGAAAAATTCTAGTGGATACGGCCTTATACAGTTACGGTTTGCTTGAGTCCGTTGAACATTAATTTTTTAAATGTCCGAATCATTCGGCTCACTCGGATTGGTTAGGGAGGATTCACACTGCGTCCGATGTCCGACGTACGACGTCCGACATCCAATAGGAGAGCAACTTACCAATGGAGAATTGAATTCTCCATTAGAAAGCTGTTCTCCTATTGGGTGTCGGACGTTGTACGTCGGACATTGGACGCAGTGTGAATCCTCCATTATGCATAAACCTTACATGAGTTGGCGCTGATGTGCCGCTTAATGTTATTGATATTGTATTTGGTAGTAAAGCCAGCGGCACACGATGCTTGTTTTCTGGTTTTCTGATGCTGGATTGCTTGCTGGATGAAAATATTGCATTCTGATTGGTACATTTCCATCCATCTTCGAAAATGTACCAATCAGAACGCAGTATTTTCATCCAGCAAGCAATCCAGCACGAAAACAAGCACCGTGTGCCGCTGGCTTAACAGGAATGCCTTCGAGGTTTTGATTTTCTGAAGCGTATTGAAAGAAGACTCTATTGGTCTATTCTTTGTAGCTGCACTGTTGAACTGGTGCAATAAATTAAAGTGAGACAAATATAGGTTTTCTCACTCTAGCTTATTGCACCAATTCAGCAGTGCAGCTACAAAGAATAGACCATAAGTCATGACTATCAATCCTATGGACTAGCGTCCTGAAATGATGGGTCTATTTTTTATAGCTGCACTGTTGAACTGGTGCAATAAGTGAAAATGAGACAACTATATTTTTTTTCACTCTAACTTATCGCACTAATTCAGCAGTGTACTTATAAAGAACAAACCCGATGTCTGTGACCCTTATGGCTGGCCAAAAGAGTTAACTCTCCATAATTTAGAAGAAGAAGAAGAAGTACTAGCAGTGAATATCGGAATGCAGCTCCTATATTGGGTCTATTCTTTATAGCTGCACTAGTGCAATAAGTTAGAGTGAGAAAAAATATAGTCTCATCAGAGAGTAACCTGAGAGCGGCCAATACGACATTTTCTGCGACACCGACTTTCCGCACTGGGAAAGGACGCCATCTGCATCCATTTTGAGAGGGGAACTACGATAGTACATCCACTTTCAGGTCTCGGTGGTAAAATCTGCATATGGTGGAAGTCCATGCTACATACACTTTCAGGCGGTTTATGTCCGTGCTGCAATGACAGTTGCCATCTGTATGCCAGACTATGCCCGGTGGTCTAAAAAGAGCGGAGGAGAGGGGGGAGGAGCAGAAAAAATAAAAGTACGTATTAAATGTTAAATCTTCGAATATATATTGCCGTATCAAAGTCTCTTCTATAATAAACAATTTGACATGTATGGAGACGCATGATGTATCGTTGTCCGCGTCCCGTTCACTTCGTCTTGTTTTTTAATTCAGCATCCCGTCCGCTCCGGACATTCGCTCGTGGCACTGACAGTGGCCGACAGTGGTGAGCATTCAATCCGCTCGGAGGAGCACGTGTTATTCACGTAATTAACATGACAAGACTCCGATTATAAATATCCCGCGAGTCGACGAAATATTTGAACTTTTAAAAAAAGCATCAAAGAAAATCACGTTAATGTTGTCATGGGTAAAATCTCACCCCGGTATATATTTTCTTATTTTCGAAATAAAAAAAGCCAAACGAATGCAATTAAATGTTATTTATCATCATTGAATATTAAATGAAAAGTAGAAGAATTATTGTCCGCAGCGGATAATCTCCCTGTATAAAATGTCGAACTGAAACATATTAAAAAGTATTGACATTTTGAATACGTCTGAATTCTGCTTTCTGATCCGAAGAAAGGGAAAATAAAAAGTATTAGTTCCCATTAAATTTCACCACGCTAAATGCGAGATGGCAGTAGTGAATGCTTCGCATTAACAAGAATTCAATTCGTTTCAAATATGCCTTGTATTCAATCGCAATCGATAATTTTTAAATGCGAACTTTCGTATTGAAAAATATTCACTTCTTCTCCTAATCGTTTTCGGATTCAGAGGCATACAAGATTTTCACGTTCTATTCCTCATCGCATTAAAAAGTATTCACCCGCGATCCAATCTGAGAGCAGAATTCACGACAAAATCTCGTGAATGCGAAACAATACTTTTAAATACGACATTTTATACAGGACTAATATTTAATAAGAGCGCGATTAAATTCGCATAGGATGAAATTCCATTCTTTAACGCTACCATGACCTTTAATTATTCCCTGAAAACGGCGTCACAACAACTTACACTCTGTACAATTAGTTGCTAACACATTTTCTAATACATTCCTCTTTAATTAACATAAAGCTAACAAATGTCCGATGCTTCGACAGAGTAATTTTCTTTATTTTCAATAATGAAAAAAGAAAAGTACATCAATGTCGCGTACAGTTGAAAGGTCTCCTCGCATTCCCCTCGTCGTTCCGGAACTTTCGAGAAAAGAAGAGACGCCTAAGGGCAAGTCTCTCTTGCTTCAACCGCCGCCGAGGCCCGCAATGTTTACATCGCGCCGATTATGTTGATCGGCTCGCGAGCGACGACACTTTTTGCCCTTCGTATTATAATACTCGCGCACCTCATGTATTCGACCTCATTCCATCAGCAGCAGCCGTGCGCGACGCTCTCGTCACTTCCGTCTCGTGTAATTAAAAGAAATATATCTCGTCGGTCCTCGAGATACTCAATCGGCATCGCGTCGGCATCTCATTCATTAACTGCACGGTCGAATCGCGAGTATCAGCATTAGAAGCATGAGCGAGTGAAATCCGGAGGACTTC